TTTACATTAACATTTGCAAGGAACACTAAGCTTATTTGTGGGAAAACATCCACTATTTGCATATGGACGGTAAAGATCAGTTGTGTAGAAAAGAACAGGAAATTTCATCATGCTGCATTGGAGATGAAATTGTGAGGGTTTGTTCCTCATTAAGAGAGGAGATCAGAAGAAAAAAATATGTTGATTACAGTAGACTTTCGCATGTTGAGTCATATTTTGCCAGAAGCTGTGAGGAGCATTGATATAGCTGTTATCCTGACTGTGTGACCCAGAAGTTAAATCTGCATGCAGCATTATTAGCACCTCAAGAAATTACAACTACTGATGATTACAATTGATCACTAATAGTAAGACCATGCATAATTAATGTATTTTCAGTACAAGTGTTTCAGTAATGCAAACTTATGGTTCTAGTAATAATTTTTAAAATTAATTAATACATTCTACGTACATAAGAACTTTGGGGAGATCCTTCCACTGGTCCTTCCTTTAATCCACTCTTTCATGTTGGAATTGTTGCTACTTAATAGATCAGAGTTGTATAAAAGATGGCAGTTCCATGGCTTGTTGTGTCTCTGTCCTTTCAACACCACAGCGGCTTCTGTCCACAAACGTGACGTTCAAGGTGGGCTGCACCTGGGGGTGGTGGAATTCCCCTGGTTCTCCCACTCTTATTATTCTTCCCTAAGAAAAAAAAAACATAACAAAACCTTTTTTCAGCAAGTTTCCAATGATATCATTGCAATGCTTCAAGGACAACTACAGTGCTCCAACTATAACTCAATAAAAGGTTTTAAAAGTTGGTACAGCTTATAGAAAAAAGCAAAATCTTATCTAAAATACATCTCTCTGACCTTGAGTAATCAGAGGGGCTTTTCTTTTTTTTTCCTTTTTTTTCGCATTTATTATATGCGAAACCTAAAAACTTTAATGGAACCGTCACAGTCTCTCTAGGTTTATGATCTATGGACAGAGATAACCAAAGTGGAGAGCTCTTTGAGAATGCACTGCATCAGTCACAGTATGTAAATGATGAACACAGGCATCTGCTGTGAAGTGAAGCCAATACAGCAGTGCCTTAAGGTGCAAAATTACTGATGGGTTCTATGTGTGAGAGCTTTTAGTGCATCTCTGGCTTCAATATACCCACTGGAAAAAGTACCAACTTCTCACAACATGCAAAGACAACAGATGTATTCCAAAAGTCAGTCTGTTTTTCTTTTGTTTAGTTTTTTGCTTTATTCAGTATGTTTGTTGTATTGATAAGTTGTCCTTAATGAATAACCTTGTAGTGTTATTGGATGACTTCAATTGTATAATTATATGAAATTAGAATATGACGGAACATACACCTGAAAATGAGAAACAATTTGTTTGTCTTGCTGTATTTATGATTACTTAAAACAGTCAGAGGGACTGTAGACTCATAAATAAGAAGAGCATATGTTTTCTATATAAAGTACATTTATTTTCAAAAGTTGTTGTGTGGAAATACCAACTTAACTACACTGTGCCCTTACTAGGTACTGAAGTACTTGTAGTTGATCTGAAAAAAAAAAAAAAAAACAGCTATTGGGACATTCCTAGAAATCAGCAACAAAATTTCTGATCTGTACATTTATAGAAAACAGATCTATCTGCATGCTATTTATTACAAATGACTAATATGTTATCCATATTTAGAATGCAGCTTCAGGTTCCCATGATTACAGAAAGTTTATTGCTTTTTCTGTCTTTTAGGCAAAGTAAATGTGAGCCTTACAATTCTGTCTAATATCTGGCAATATATGATATTCCTCTTTGCATTTCATTGTTGAAGAAGTCGATCAATAATGGAGTTTTTTGTATTCGGTCTCTACTTAAATCATCAAATAAACACGAGAGGCTTATATAAAAAAAAAAAAATAGTGTTCACATATGGAGCACCAGTTCTTTCTTAGCTCATAGGTGCAAAGGAAGGAAATACATTTAAGCATTAGTCCAGCATTGGACCTATAAACTATATTGGCATGTTCACAGCTGCAGAAAATTGAGTAAGGTCTGCTGAGGGGGAGCCTGTGCGGGAGCAGACAGGATAGTGGTAATAGGCTGTCTGAGCGCTTGGAAGATGCAGAGAGCTGGAGGAATGGAGTTCTAATGGAATATCCAAAGGTGTTCAATGACAGTTAACCTTTCCGACTAATGATTGGGGTCACAGGAAATGTGTATCGCACCCTTAGATAGCGTTTAGTCAGCAATGGAGATATATATGAGTGATGAATATTGTATGACCTAAAAATACCGGCGCTTCCACAGCTCTACTGTCAAACCAGTTCTTTTATTCCTGTTCAAGGTTGGTTATTCCAGGCAATGGGAACCCCCCAACCCAGTATCCACAGCATTAAACATTAGACCTTCCATTAAGCTCAAAGAGCCCTAATCCCATGCAATTGAAGGAGAGTGTAGGAGATTTAGAGATAATACACACAAAACAGCTGATTCCCATCATTATGTGATCCTGTTTTTAATGAGTTTAGCGTGGATGAGGAGGGCAAGGCTCTCTTGAAGCTACCGCTGCAGCAGATGTCCGCTCACCTGCCAGTGTTGGTTACACAAGTATTGCATCTTAATGCCGCTTTATTGCCTGCTTATGAAACCCTGATGCAATCCACCCAAGGGGCATCACAACTGTCCTTCTTTCCCCTTTGTGATTTTCAGCACATCCTGAGGCATCATTATTTGTTCAATTAGACAATCAGATTTTGCATTTATGTATAGTGGATTGCAAACCCATCCCCATGTGTCACACTGAAATGGATTTTAGTTGGATTTCGTTTAACCAACACAAATGACAGTGTAAGTGTGAAGTGGAACGAAAAAGATATCTTATTTTACAAATGGAAAATCTGAAAAGTGTAGAATTAATATAGTCAGCCACTCTGTCAATATTTTGTTGGAACATCTTATGCTGTGAGATAACTTACAGCACCTTAGACAATAAATCTTTAAGTATTTGCTAAATATGCTGTGCTTTTTCTACTGAACATATTTGAAAGTACAGTTTTAAGTGTGATTCTTCAAGATTGGCACACACATTATTGCACAACAATTTCTTCCAAGAAATAAAGCTAAATTAAGCAGAGGCAAAGGATCTCTCTGAGTGGCATTAATAATTTGCCTCTAAAAGCTTCATGCCACTTAAGTTATTAACATTTAATTCAGCAGCGTCAGAGTGGATTAACCTATCAGCCAATGTATCGCAGGGGATGTACGGAGTACATCTCATTTCTAGTGTTTTTGCTATCGGTTCACAGAAACGCTGACCTACTGTGAAGATTTGATTTGTTTTATGCCTACAATGGCAAATGTACAAAAGTAGATTGTGCGTTTTCTTGTTGTTGTTTTTTTTTCTTTTTTTTTTTGTTGATTTATGACCACTGAATTTTTAGTCCCTCCAATTAAACCACATTTTTCAAAAAAAGTTGCAAACTCACTAAAATGCAGCCCTTGCAGTTTTTCTCTATGAATGTTCTTTAAATAGTGGCTTTGCACTTGGGCATTGATGGACAGCATATCTATTGAAGACAAAAGTAGTAAGAGGACCGTCTTTAAAGTTTACATGGCGAATCATCCTCTGAGGTTGAGAAGGAACTCTGATAAAATATTGTTGAAATATTTGAATACTATACAAACTAGCACCTTACACAAGGATTTTAAAAGTGCTCTGCATGAAGTTCAGTCCGCCTTTTCGACAGACTTACTTAATTACTGTGATGAGGGTGACTTGTGATGTTCCAGACACCTAAGGTCTTCTTGGTGGTCTGGCTGTTAAATCCCAACTCAAGCTTTCTTTGACAAGAAAACAGTCTGTTCTCTATTTGTAGACACGTCAACATTGCTAATATATAAATAGAAGTATATATCAGGCTTACCACTCAAAAAATTCACTTTGAAAAAAAGTGCACATTCTGGTTGCTTTATGTTTTCATGATATTTAGGTTTTTAGGCCACCAAAATATAATATTTAAACCTTTAGCTTTCTTTGTATCGACACATTGACAAGTAGATTATTATAAGTGTTTTATTGATTGACTTAACCCAGATATATGTTAAACATATTTATATAATACTTTTCAGAACAAGTAAAAGTTAATTTTGAAAAAGCTTAATGCATAGCCCAACTTTGTAGCACACTGCATTTGAAACCGTCATCCCCACATTTTAAAACCTTTTTCATTCAGCGTAGTTGCACCCAAAAAATGTAAACCTAAACATTACAAAGGAATCCATAAATCAACCCTTTGCAGAAGTGCTGCCAGCTTCTCTGGCCACAAGCCCATCACACATGGACAGAAAGACAGATGAGGTTTGTTGTTTGGCTGTGTCTTTTGTTTGTAGTGAATTTTACAGCTTTTTTTGTGTATTCATGTCATGAATTAATTTTACAAAAATGTGTTAACCTCCTTTTATAAAACCTTTTTCTCACTGGGAACAAAAAATCCCCTTGAAAAGTGTTAATATAATAAAAATAACTTGCTATGCAGTTTCTAATTGAGTTTAACAAAGATTGGTAAGGTAAAGTTGGGAATGTTGCTCTTTGCTTTACATCAGACATTTATTAACGTAACCTTAAAACTTTCAGAAAAATAAGAGAAATAAGCTCATATGCATAACTGCATCCATCATAAGACTTTGTTTTTATTTTTTGTTTCTTACTATGGGGTCTTTGCTGGTACACCTCAGTTGAATATATTCATTCTGCAGCAGTGGCATCTACTTACGGTGTATCAGACATCAGATATACAGAAAGGAGCTACTTTACCATAATTTATTTAAACTTTAGAGATTTTCCTCATTAAAAGACACTTTGAATGATATATCATCAAGCCTTGTTACTGCCACTATAACTACACATGATTTATATGCGCCGCTGTCTGTTTCCTCATATTGTCCAAGGCTGATGGAAAGGAAGCATTCTGCATTTGTTTCTTATAAACAACACTCCTCTCTTGTTTTTCCAGGGTCTTCCTTCGGGCTATTAGCCAGTACGCAGATGTGTTGAGCAAAAAATTTCTGGATCAAGCCAACTTTGAGCTACAGGTAAGCATTGCACTGATTTTCATAATCCCTTCCTCAGTTACTTTGCATCAGCTCCACAAAACTTTTTTTTGTCATGTCAACTCTCGATGTGACATTTGAAGCGCTATGAAAATTGCAGAGAGAGTGAGTGATGGGAAACATCAATTACATTGTAATAGCCTGCAATTTTTATGTCCTGAATATTTTACCTGCTCCCTTTTGAAAAAAGCAACAGCTTTTCTCATTTTTTCATTTCAATATCTGACACATGAAAGAATATTGTCGATAGCTGAACCCCTCAGAGATTTCAAAGCCTTTATGGACTGATTAATGTAGGTTTGTTTTAGTGTGACTCACAGCACTTAAAGCTGTCTTTGTGGTTTAAAGAAAAATGTTCGATCTCAGTTTATCAGGACAGAAACAAGTGTTTTCCTCCAGGGATCCTATCCAGTCTGGAAAAGTGTGTAATTTAAAGTTCTTTCTAGATCTGGAAAACTATGGAGAAAGAAAAAAGTTTTGGAATTTCAGACTTTATTGCTCATCCATCTTATCCATCCATCTGTCCATAATTTTCAGGCTTTAGATGACTGATGTAAGAACCCTCTTAAATCTTACATACCCTAACTACTCTTGTAGTTAGGACTCAGGTCTTTTGGATCTTGTTGGGTTTCCATCTGTAGAACCAAAACCTCAAAAATGGATAAGAAGCATTAAAGTTTCTAGGTTTGCACCTTAAATCTGGAACTTCCAATAAAATTGCAAAACAGCTGAAACTCAGAGTTCCTTTCAATCCAGAATTTGTCTTTGTGGAACATCGATCGACATATTTGATGTGTATTTGCGTGATGAATTTGAAAATGACATTTGACTAAATTTAATGTCAATTGCTTGCTTCATAATTTGTGACTGAAGGATGTTTTAATGATGTAAAGCACCTTGAACTGCCTTGTTCCTGAAATGTATATAAACTTATATTCACAATAAAATTCTTTATAAGGAGCCTTCATTTCAAACATTTTACTTTCAAAGAAGAGTCACACACAGACTAAAGCTGCAGACTTCCCTGATGGAGAACATCCTGTGGGTGACATTGACCTAAATCAACAACCTCTGCATCTACTGGGACAGCTTCCCAGCAACAAACTGTAACCTTCTCTTCTGCAGCTTTTGATTAAATGAAACTATAAAGCTCTCCTGCCCACACTGTCTAACACTGAATAGCATTGTTGTAAAACTGGCTTTGAGCTGTGAGTGAATCGGTCTCTTATTCCCTATCCACCTCTCTCTGCCTTTATCTGGGTTAGCTGTGGAACAACTACTTCCACTTGGCCGTGGCCTTTCTCACTCAGGAGTCGCTGCAGCTGGAAAACTTCTCGAGCGACAAAAGAAGCAAGATCTTCCATAAGTAAGTATGACCTCACCCTTAAATCCTCGGGACATCCTCGTTTTACCTACTAAAGCTTAGATTTCCTCTCCAGGACAAGTCCATCACAGCCTGCAGGGATATCAAAAATTCTGCAGCTTCTTGTATGAAACTGCTGTGGTTGCTTTTCCTGTTCTGATCATAGCACAACAGACTCATTGCTGCTTTAATGTCTATTTTGAGAACATTCTGTACCTAAATGTCTCTGATGCAGAAATGTTCTGTACCATTGAGAGAAGGTTCAAGATGTTAAAACATAATTACTAATGTGAATATTTTTTTACAATAATTGAAGTTAGGACATTTCTCATCTCTTCACACTTCTCCGTTCTTTGTTTCTGCAGCGGGCATATTTATCTGTATTAGTATTTTTCTGACAGTCTGATAATGCATTCAGACGGACAAATGCTTTCTGGGAAGATGTTGAGCATATTGGCACTAATCTTCATTTGGAAGAGTTTTTGTCAGTGAATCATAGATCACAATGGCTGGTGCCTGACAGTGATGCTGCTTTGTTGGTCAGCATTTTATCACTTGCACTAATAAACTTACACTAGAAAATAGAAATTACCCCCTCTGGCTAGATATTGACCATGCATTCCAGGGCAAATGTATTCACCCGCTTTTAACTTTCACAATTTATCACCTTACTCCCACAAACATTCTTGTATTTTATTGAGATTTTATGTGATGCACCAACAAAAAAGGAACAAATAAATGGAAAGTGGGAGGAATTTTTTTTTTCAGCCGTTTCAGCTGCTCTGTGTATTGGATGACGAATGCAAAGCACAAAGTGATTTGACGTGGATTTGCTTTAGTTGAATCTATTTATTTCTGTCTTTGAAAACCATCATAGATTAGATTTTGCAGACCTGCAAAATCATGATGTCAAGATATGAAATTATGGCAATATGATATGTGATTTGCTCAGAATTTTATCCATATGGACAAAATCTAACTTTTTATCTGTAGTAGATTTAGTCCAATCATCAAAATCATAATGATTTTTGTTTTTTTATTACCTGTGAGCTGCAGTCATCAAAATTTATAAAAAGCCTGACATTACTGTATATAATTCATTTGTAATTTATTACTGTATGTAATTCATACAGTAATAAATTACAAAATTAATGTGTGGAATTCATTACATACTTCATTGTAGGTAATAAATTCCAATTTATTTAGATCAACAACATAGAAATGTTTTCCATAAAAGAATATTAAAAGTTCATAAAAGTCTGACATTTTGACAGGAACTCATAAACATTTGAAAGCCAATGTACATGTAAGCGCTGATGCTTTCACTGAGATTTTTTTTTTTGGGGGGGAGGGATACAACTGAGCAAATGAGCATGTGGCCGTGTCATTGTTATGATTTGCTCGAATGACTGATGAGGAGAGGGACCATCACATTGTCAGGTTTAGTGAATGTCTCACTCATCTGTGCTTGAGGCTTTGATCTCATCCGAGTTGTCTTTACCAGCGCCTGCTTGTCAGTTACACATTTTTTTGTTGTTTTTTTTTTGTCTATTTCTCTGACTGTGCCTGCCACTATGTATTTTGTTCTCCATCTCTTCTCTTCCCATCACTTCATACCGTCACATTCAATCTCCTTTCTTGCCTCTCAATCATGATCTTTACTTCATGACCCAGTTGCATTACTCCACACAGCCTGCTGGGACCTGCTCTGTGTCCACCCTCTGCAGACGAGGTATTGTTATTTAACCTCAGCGAGAGATTTCCGCACGTCGCTGACAGACGCGTGTTGTAGGTCCTGACAGCCGACAGTCACAGCTGTCTCCGGGTCTGCAAGAGTGTGACAGAAAAGCGTGCTGCATCTGTTTCGGCATAGATGAGAAAACTGTGCCTCGTGCACAGGCATCCCCATGTCTTAATGTGGGAAACAAGCCTTCTTCCTGCCAGTCACACACACACAAGCATGCTGTGAGAATTTTTTTTCACACATACACAATGAGATGCAAAAATACTGAAGGATGGTTATATGTAATGCATGCAGCCACAGAATCATTTAGAGGCCAGAATTCATTAATACTGTATTTTATAATTCTGTCGATACTCTCCCCTCAATCAGTAGCTGGGCACTGCAACACTTCTCCCTTTGACTGCAGAATGCTGTGAAGAGCTCTAACTCAATGAGGCTATAAAGAGGTGATGCAGCTTCTTTTTTAAGACATTTTTCAGTGCACTGATCACTTGCGTCAAAAGCCATTACTTTCTTATGGTATTGGCACACCAGTCATTAGGGTTTTAAAATGCCGCTACATCCTCTGGATCCTCTGAAGTAGCACATTATGTGGGAGGGCGGGAGGCTTGAAATTGATATTTGTTGTGGGTCAGCAGACGCTGGACTTGTTCCTCTGTAGAACTGCAACAAGGTATCACAACATCAGTGTGCTTTGTGGAGGACGAGATAAAGAGGTCACCGTGTCTAAGAGGCAACCAGTGTGATTCAGTCATCTTCAGTAATCTGAGCATAGGAGGACATTGCAAGGGCATCTGGTGGAGAAGTATGGTCTAATTTAACTTCAGCCAATATTTGCAGCTGTCTGGATTAAACTAATTAATCTGACTTGAATAACAATAGAACATTGTAATCTATTTGATATATTTGTAGCTTTGGAATTTTGTTGCGAGGCAGTACAGAAGATAAAGCATTTATTTATTTTTTGTTTTCATTAGAAATGCTTTTGTACTCTCACACTCCTGAGAAACTTAAGAACATGTAATTGTTAGACCTCAGCAAGCTAAAATATAAAGAAGTTTTGCAGCTTCCCTTGGTGATCTGTAATTTCACAATGTGTTTTTGTATCTCAATCACTGAGAGAACATAAGCTGCAGACGCAGCACAGCTGTTCGGATAGATTTATGCAGCTTATTCTCTTGCACATCTCCATCAAACTGCTGAGCCACACAGCGACATTGGAAACAAATATTGAGTTCAGTATAGTTATTCCCAGTGGTGCACCACCAATAAGAATATATTTAATTACTTTATCAAGATGCTGTGGTTCCTGAGTAAGTGTTCTTCAATAGCTTAGTTAAACTAAAAGACATGATGCAAAAGTTCCACCTTGGGGCTGTTGCTTTTATTCTCCTCATTTTTAAAGTTGTGTCAAGCTGGAGTTTAGCTCTTTAGAAACCATATTACCAACAGGCTTTCTTTCTTTCAAAGCAACAGTACTTTCAGTTTCCTGTCAGAGATCTTGAGTGAGACTGAAAATCTTGGGTAACACTTGACTGAAGAGGTTTTGAATAAGACTGTCATGACACTGTCATAAACATGACATAACACCTGTCATGAACATGAGTAATTCTTCATGAATATTTATGACTGTTGTCATAAAGTGTAATTTAGTAAATCATGACATTGTTAATACAAAGTTGACATTATTCAAAATGTCTTCATTATGCCAACTCCCATTGTTACAAAACTTTGACATTCGTAAGTGTCGTGGATTTATTCACAAAAATCATGCAGTATTTTTGTCGTTATGTCTTGGTTTACTTTTTTAATGTTCCAATGCAAAACGTCTCAATCTGGCGTTATCCGTTTTCACTGAACTGGCGTCACTTTACACCTATTCCCTCTTTCCAGTCTTGTTAGACTCTCCTTTGTTCACCATTTGTCCTCTCCATGACCTGGGACAGTGTTCGAAGATGGGAGACAGGCACCAAGCTGTCCATGGAGATCGGTTCATGACCTAAGCATGACAGAGCCGATCAGCTTAAAAGGGCTCAATTTAATAAAGCCAGACAGAAAAGGCGGATGGGAGTGATCCTTCTATATTTCTCTGGAAATCTTTTACATGAGACCTCATGTCACAAACAACCTAAAAAAAACTGTTAAGGACTGCACGAACAAACTCTGCTCCTCGTCTGTTGTTTTTCTGGGTCCTTAATTACATAAGCAGAGTAGAGGGAAGATTGTGACTGACAGCCAGTTGACTGAAAGCAAGTGTGTCTATGTCATGAACTTGCTCAAGTAGAAATATCTCATCATTTCGTGTTTGTCTAACGGATAAGATCTTGGGGAAACAAAAGGAGTTATCTTACCATCATCCAGGCACATTGAATCCATTTCATTACTAATCTCATTCCATGAATCTCATTTGTTTTCCCATGTTTGTTCGGTTGTCCAGAGGAAACCAAACAAAAACACGTTGATACATTAAATATTGTTGTGTAAATGTTGTATTTAGGTTCTGTGAGACAGGAGAGATGTTATGAATGCTAGAAATTGTTATTATTTGACAAAATGAATATATATATATATATATATATATATATATATATATATAATATATATATATATATATATATATATTATATATATATATATATATATGTTTTTTTTTTTTTTTGTCATGTTTTTGTTTCAGGTACCAAGACATGAGGCGACAGATCGGCTTTGAAATCAGGGACATGTGGTACAATCTAGGTAAATTTATCGCATTTACTTTGCTACTTTGGTCACACCTCTGCTGATCACAATTAGCGCTTCCACAATCTTCTGTCAGATAATATCTTATCCAGAAGGCAAAGATCTTTTGTGAAATATATACAGTCAGGTGTTAATTAGCTCTATAATGTGATGAAAAACTCACTGTTGATGTCGGGTCTAAATGTTCCTGTAGTTAAGGGAGGCGGTGTTGAATCCAGTTTATTGTGCCTAACACCAGCTGATCCTTTAATTTGAAAAGATTAGACTGGATAATCCTCTAGAGGTTTTTTTGATGATTTTAAAGGTTATTTACAACTTACATTTTCTAAAAAAGGGAAACTGTTTCATTTTTTGCAGTTAACCTGAGATGATACAGTACACATCAAAATTATATTATACAAATTATGTCTCATATTCCTTTTTCTCTTCCACTTGTTTTATCTTTAAGGCCCCCACAAGATAAAGTTCATCCCTGAGATGGTGGGTCCAGTTCTGGAGATGACCCTTGTTCCCGAGATTGAGCTGCGAAAGGCCACCATCCCCATCTTCTTTGACATGATGCAGTGCGAGTTTCACTTCACATGCGGCTTCCAACGGGTGCGTATTCTGAAATATTAAATTTATACAGTAAACTAGATGAAAGGGTGTTGTTTGGAATGAAAGATCAGATACAAAAGGGGAGAGGCGCACATAGTGCTTGATATGATTGTGAGTTTCATAGCCCAATGCCGATTTGTAATTCTGCAAATCTCATTTTGTTGTCACAATTATCAGCAGCCACAGTGAGTGGAACTTAATATTACGCCTTTCTGCAGTGGAAATTAAACCTTTCTGCGTGAGTAAATCCACTTGGTTCCAGTTGTTGTCATAAAATATGTTTCAGCCCTCTGAGAGGCCGAACATGCACAGTGTCAGTGAGTCTATAGGCACTCGTGAACATCCAATTAATTTATGGCTTCAAACGGTGTTTTTGCTCGGTGTGGACTGAATATACAACAAACAACTTCAATTAAAAAAACGAAAATTGCATGCACAAGTTTAATTTGCAGAAACTCAGTTATTCACTTAAATATATACACACTCCATAATATATTGATAAAGCTAAAGGAAAACGAGACTTTTGACAGTCCCAGGAGGGAGGTTTTGACCTCTTAATTTAACTGATTTCAACTGAACAATGCCCTAACATTTGGATTGCTTAGTTGTACAAAATATTAATTTCAGTGCAGCTTTCTTGGGAACATCTGGAGTGTCTATATTTTTGAGCCTGCATTGCTATGATCAAGTCTTTGTGGAGGAGAGAAAAGACACAAATAATTTTTAACTTCTGTTCCCAGATCTTGTTTTTAAAAAACATTGAAGCTGCATGCAGTCCACCTTGAAAAACAAATGGTTCCATAAAGACCTTAAAAGCGCAAACCTATTATAAGAATTATTCCCATTGTAAATATCTTACTTTCCATTTAAAACTGTACCGAATTGCTGTGCACAATTGAATTTCTGTAAAGACGGCAAGAGTTTAACCAACAATCCTCTGAGATTCTTTTGTCCATTTCTTTGTTTTGCTGAGATTGGACTAAAGTTTGCTGTTTTAGCTAATGTGCCACTCCGATTGGTGCTCATTGGACTTGAACCCTAATCTCTCATTGTTTCCTTCTTTGTCTCAGCGTCCTTTAGGCTCAGAGACAGTACCATTTCCTTTTTACTGACTTTCTGTCTTTTTTTTACTCAGCTGGGAATCCTCCACTGAAACAGATAGCTGAGTGTATGTCATTCCTTGCTTGTCTGCATTCTCCTCTGTTTTTGTACCTGATCAAGAACATCAAGAAGTTAGTAAAAATGTTTTATCTTTAAGCAATAAAATCTAGTTTTGATACAAATACTGGAGAAATGGAGTCAATACATCACTGTCAGCAGCTTCAGCAACAACCAAGCAGAAGGAAAAAAAACGATGTGTCTCACGATTCAGCCTTGTTCTGTCCTCTAATGAATTTTTAGCCATTAATGATCAGATCACAGCCCACTGCAGTGATGAACGGGCCGGTTAAGAAAGAATTCGTAACCTTCCTCAGCTCAGACTGAAAGTAGTTGAGGATGAAGGGGTTTGTTAATGAATTGGGAAAAATTAACGGCAGTGATTATTTGTGTCTGCTCTGTCTAATTGCAGTTTGAGAACGAGATCATCACCAAGCTGGATCACGAGGTGGAAGGGGGCCGAGGAGACGAGCAGTACAAAGTTCTCTTTCAGAAAATGTAAGTGCTGATTATTGGGCAGGATTATGGCTGAGCCTCTCACAAGTTGGATTGCTCTAATTGGAACATCGCACTCCTCAAAATAACCACCATTTGCTGATAATCACACGACTTCCCGGCTCAGCTTTTCTCTTCTGACTCCTGATTTCTGCACAGAGTGATCCTCATTCTGCCTTGTTCGGCAAAAATTCTTTTTCCAAGATATTAGGGGCTAAAATAATTTACAATTTTAACGATTCACAGTTAAAGAAATTTTGTTCAGTTATGTTCTTCTCTTTTCCTTCTTACTTGCCTGCCACCAGTTTGTTGGAGCATTGCAGGAAGCACAAATACCTGGCCAGGACAGGAGAAAACTTTGTTACTCTGGTGGTGCGACTCCTGGAAAGGCTGCTGGACTACAGGACCATCATGCATGATGAGAACAAGGAAAACCGCATGAGCTGCACCGTCAATGTGCTCGTAAGATCCACAAAACACATGCATGGCCCTCCAGTAAAGGATTGCTGAGACCTTTTATAACTTCCATCATTAACACATAACCTTGTGAACAATGATTAGATGCAATCACTGTAAAGAGACTTATTAGCTTTAAAAGTTTACTTTGTAGCAAAACAAAGTAATGTTCCATAGGATTTATACTCTGACTTCATATCGATGTACTCATACTGTCAGCACAGTTCAGGCATTGCTATACTTAAATAAATAATATAATTATAACGTTCATATTGTCAAAACTGTTTCAAATATATTTGAAACAGTAAAATAAAACAATAAAATATATATTATTTATTTCAAGGATAGATTTAATAAATTTAAGTTATGATGTGCAGATATTTGAACTCCTTCAGAACTTGATCTAATGTCTGCATCTGTTTTTTGTTTGTGTTTTTTTTCTAGAACTTTTATAAGGAGATAGACAGAGAGGAGATGTATATCAGGTAAGATCCAAATCTAGTGTTGTCTTTCATAGTTGTTTCAATTCAGAGTTACAACAACAATTTTTTAATGTTTATTCTTATTATGTTTTCATTTTGCTTGTTGAGTATATTTTAGATCGGAAAAGTTGTCAGATCTTATAAGTATTATGATTCAGTCTCCTGTCTTTGCTGGTATGCAAGCACTAAGTCTTTTCTGCATCTTGCCAGGTACCTGTATAAGCTGTGCGACCTCCACAGAGAGTGCGACAACTACACAGAAGCTGCCTACACCCTGCTGCTACACGCAAAACTGCTCAAGGTACACAAACCACACTGAAGACTGAACATGGGAGCAAAATATTTACGCTGCTCAGCTGTTGCTCGTTGAGTTGCTTTTAACCTCAGGCAAGATACTAATATAATTCTCTGAATTAGATTATGCACAGATTTGAAACGGCTCAGATGATTTTAATTGAACCACGGGATGAGATGGCTGCTGAGGAGGCAGAGGAGAGGCTTTCTCACCAGGGTGAAATCTGGTCTTTCATCCCAGATAGAATAGGAAGTAAAATAAACCGCTCCCCTGCAGAGCTTCAGTTCAAGATTCTAAATGCAGCTGCAATAGTTAATCTAGATGATTGAAATCAGCAAAGTTTTTCTTGATGAGTAGGTCAAAAAATGAAACATCAGAGAATATTTCTCTGCTTCCCAAATTCATCATTGCCTTTTTTTTTCCCTGTAAACACATCATGGCATAATATTCTTTCAGGCACTTTTCATTTAGATCCATTCATGGATTATTGTCGTCTTAATCTGGGATTGGGCTGCGGCCCAGTCTTCCATTTGCCCAGTCACTTGAGCCAACTCTTCCCAGGGATTCTCAAGGCGTTCTCAAACCTGCCAAGAAATACATTCACTCCAGCATGTTCTGAGTTTCCTTACGGTGGGACATGCCCAGAATACCTCAACAGGAGGTTGTTTAACCAGATGCCCAAGCCCCCTTAACTGGCTCCTCTTGATGAAGAGAAGCAGTGGCTCTTTTCTGAGTCCCTTTGGTTGACCGAGCTTCTCACCTTATTGCGAAAGAAGAACTCTTTTCAGCCGCATTTGTTTGCAATTTCTTTCCGTTGGTCACTACCCAATGCTCATAACCCTAGATGAGGGTGGAAACTTAGATTGACTGGTAAATCATGACTTTTGCTATTCGTCTAATATTTCTTTTCATCACAAAAAGATTGCATTGCTCAAGATGCCGCACTATCAACCTTTTTTTTCTTCATCCTTCCCAAGACAATTGAACTCCTCCACTTGGAACATGACTTCATCTCCTGGAGAAAGCAGTCTACCCTTATCCAATTCAAGACAAAAGTTTCAGATTTATAAATGCTTATTTTCATCCGGGTGCTTCACGTTTGGCTTTGAAATTCTCCAGTAAAAGCTGGAGATCACTGTCTGTCAGGTTTGCATCATCTGCAAAAGGTACAGACATGATCTTGAGGTCATCAAAAACGATCGCCTCAACATCTTGACAGCAGCCATAAAGGTTATGAACAGAATTGGTGTCATAGAGCAACCTTGGCAGAGTCCAATTCTTACCGGAAAGAATCTGAGGCTCGACTATCTAAGAGTTTATTAACAATCAGATAAAAATTACACAGTTGAGAATTTATAGGTCAAAACTCTGAGAAAACCGTGTGTAAAAGCCAGATTTCTTTAACTCTTATTAGTTCTGATGTTGCATATTTGTTACAAGCATGACTTTTTTTTCCTAATATAGTTAAAAAAAAACACCACGTCACCAAAACAAACGTATATTTTTTTCAATCTGCAGAGTCTATTCCCAGCTGGGAAAAAGTATGGAGTAAGTTTAGGAGGGAGTCCTTTCATCCAAAATTGTATTATCTTACTTCTCAGCTGAATTTGCATAACTATCCTGCTGTTTGGGCCTTTGTAGTGGTTCTGTCAGGAGGGAGCAGGTTGTCACTGAATCCCATTTTTATCACTGTCAGGCTGGCGGGAGTTGATTTTATTACTTTAGATCTGCAGATCTTTTAGCACCTGAGTCTTCTTGATTATGGCAGGAAGGCATTTCTACTGCTGTGCTTTAGAGGCTGAACATGTGTCTGGATATTATTTTTCAGCTTAATATTTCTTGAAATACCACACAGACTTATGGTGGGCCTTGCAAAGTAAACGTCAGTGTATTTTATGGGGTTTTTGTGTAATATACCAACACAAGGCAGCTGTAGAGTGGAAGAAAAAATATATATATATATATATATACATATATATATATATATATATATATATTTTTTTTTTTTTTGAAAGTAACTCTTGAAATGTGGCAAAATGTCGGCTTACATTTGAATTTATTTCCAAAATATATAAATTTGAAAATAATATTAAGGAAGTTAAAATACAGCACCTCCCCATTATTGGAGAATAAATTGGAACCTCCATGACTGCTTCACTAAATTATTAGCACTTTGCTGGCTTTCCAATAATGTCTGCTTTTTAACTGTGTCGATGCAGGTTCACTTGCCATCAATGCATAAATGTGAAGGTCCTTTTTACAATGTGAATGCTGCATTCAAGCTGTGAAGAAATCAATTGGCTGAGTCCCTCTTTTTATACCACAGCAACAGTGTGCGAAGACACATTTTTCCACCAATGTGGTCATCAAACCCTTCATGTTCTTCACAGAATAAAATCCTGCTGGTTGGTGGTAAACACGTCCTGACAAATATATAGGGTTGTAAATTTTCTCACATTTCTAAGCAGCTTCCATCTGTCAGAAATCACATTATCCTTTATGCTGCTTTAAAAAAAAGAAGAAGCACATAATCATGGTTATCCTGGTGTTGTTTTATCTCTTTGACACTGCCTACAGCATCAAACCCTGCCCTGTTGTATAATCAATTGCTCCACCACTCTATTGTATACAGAGTTAATATGCAAACAAGTTGAAGGGAGGCTTCTTTGCTTACTTAGTACATTCTACTCCAGCAGGCCAGTCCACTAGAGCCAAATTTCTGACTAATATAAATATTGAAACTGTGTGTCAAACACAAATGACATTTGTTTATTGAGCTTCCTTTAAATTCACTACATAGTGAAAAAAAAGTAGAACATGTATAAATAAAACAAGCCCTAATAAAACAAACCAACATCCATCAGAACTTGTGTAACTGCAAATTTGACTTACACAATGGCTGCAGGACCATTTTACACTGATTGTCTTTCTGAATTGTTCAATAGGTATCGATGCATGTATCACTGCCCACATCTTAACTCTTCATTTTGCTCTGTGCAAGACTGTGTTCAAGGGAATTACACATCAATATCCCTCATTTGCATTGGCTATAACTCATTGATTGATTTCTTGTCACCCGTTTGACTTTTATCCTGCATTGTTTTGCACAACATTAACCCCAGTGCTCATTTGTTCGCTGCAGTGGTCAGACGAGCAATGCGCGGCCCACCTGACCCAGAGGGAAGGTTACCAGGCCACAACTCAAGGACAGCTTAAGGACCAGCTCTATCAGGAGATTATTAATTACTTTGATAAGGGCAAGGTAAGAGGCGCTCTGGAAACCCTGACAATGGCGCATGGATTGACAATAATCCATTTCTTGTGGATGGATGAAGAGGCATATTAGACTACACAACTATTACTTTTTATAGCATAACCTTTTCTAAAAGCCGTTCCCTCGCTTCATGTCCTTTTTCCCTTTTACCTTAATACCACATCAGCGCTGTGCTTTAATGCCATCGGAGCCACTTGAGAGTTGGAAAATGTTCCCTTTTGTAGGAACTTTTGTTTTCTACAAGAAGAATCGGAGGAGAAATATACGGATCTCCTTGGAAATGAAGTTCTAAGACTTTGAATGTAATGTCAGAATTAAGATTGTTCTCAGTAACTTGTCAAACTTTGGTTAGGAAGCAACTAGATTAATGAAATTTGGAAACAAACCATTTAAATAACTGTTGATATTATGAGGAATTTAGTTGGCAATCTTTAGGAATTCTCAGCAGTTTCACAGGATCTTTATTATTTAAAGAGTACATTCAGATACAATTATTTTATTAATATAAACTACATTAACCATAATCATCGCTTATATAATGTAAAATATCAACTTATCATGTTGAATAGAAGATGGCATCGAAGTTTTTCTGTCTACCAAAGCGATTAAATAATAATGTCCTGACTATCTTGTATTATACACTATGACCTGCGTGAGACTAGCAGTGAATTCAAGGTACTCTGCTACCAGGACGTTAGCTCTCTATCCTTGCTTTAATCTTTTAAATTAATTCATGTTTTGACTGTCTGTGTCCTTTCTAGATGTGGGAGGAGGCAATTGTGTTGAGCAAAGAACTAGCTGAACAGTATGAGAATGAAATGTTTGACTTTGAGCAGCTTAGTGCATCCTTGGTAAGTAGGATTAATGTGTTGCTTAACTGTATTTCCACTTTGTACACTGTCACTCCTCTGCTGCACTTAAAGATGGAATGAAAAGCATAAGGACAGAACCTGCAGGACAATTATGAGGGAAATTAATGCAATTAGTAAGTGGGGAGATTGACTACTTATGTACTTGGAAAGAGTGGGAGGAAGACTGTGTCTAAAAAACAAATTTAAACAAAGAAATTTCATCATGATGGCTAATGTAGTCAGTAGTAGGCAGGATTCAGATTTTGCAGCATGTCTGCTTTCAAGAGAAATATAAGCAAGCAGAAGCATCTTATATTCAAGCATATTTATTTAAGAATTAAAGAAAGACAGAGGTGATAAAAAAAACCCATCAAATTTCTCTCTGGAATGGCTTTAAAATGCTTTATTAAGCATTTTAATGTATGTTAAAATGCTTATGTTGTTAAACTTCTCCACAGCGGAAGCAAGCTCAGTTCTATGAGAATATAGTGAAGGTCATTCGGCCCAAACCGGACTACTTTGCTGTGGGCTACTACGGAATGGGGTTCCCTTCCTTTCTGCGGGTGAGTATTTGCATCGACAGACACTTCTTCTTGATCTTGGCTACAAGATGCGCTTCAATGGGTGGGCTTAAGAATGTATACCCCTCTTTTATTAAATAGATAAATATAAATTTGTATTATAAAGCATCTGAGCTGCTTGTCCTCCTTGCTGAGGAGTTGTCAACAGTGGCTTTCGCTAAATATGTTGCTGGGTATAGCGCCGAACAAATGTTAAGTGCTTTAGAGTTAGCAATCAACTTTTAGTTAACGTGCCTAAATATTTTAAGGCAGCTCTTCAATTCCTTAGCCAAGTCCAACCAAATTCTGAGTGAAATTTTATCATCACAGTTTTGAGGGAGAAGTAAATACCTTTCTGTCTTTGGATAAAAGCATTAAAGGACGGTACACATTAAAAATTGGCCACAATAAAATTGCTTCTACAGGCTGGTTGCACCCTTAAAATGTCCAAATGTCTGGATGTAATTTGAACAGCAGATGGTCTTAAAAATGCTGGCACCAAACAGAGAGCTATGCCAGCTTCCTAAAATGTGACTGATTATGAATGTTGAAGTGTTGGTCAATGCAATAGATCCGACCTCCTTCATTCATTTACACAAGATAAGTGTCCTCTCAACCTGAGATGTTGTGTACTAAATATCCTGACTGGACACAGGCCAATCAAATCAGAGCTTCTCACAAATTAAGAAGCCGTTTGATATTCATCATCTGTGGAGTCGCTGTGTGCATGTCAGACCTCATTACCATTTAATGAAAGATGTATTCCTGTTCTCTCAAAGCTCTTTGTTTAAAATAAAATTAATTGCATCTTTTTTTATTTGTTTTTGCATCACTGTGTGAGAGAGGGTTTAATCTTAAGCCAGAGCTCTTTGTTTGTCAGAGGGAGAAGCAGCTGCAGTGCTGACAAAGGCAGATTTGTTTGCCTTTAATGTATTCTTGGAAGAGCTCTTGTGTTTTTTTGTTTTTTTAGCCTGTCATTTGGCGCGTCACCCAAGGTGCTGTTTTCTTGTTTAGAAAGATTTCAGTCGCTTATCACTCAAGCAGCACACTAAATGGCTCTCACAGTGATGATCCCGATCATGCCCTTTTCATTCTATTATGAACAACAGACCTCTGAGCTGGAACTTTTGCTTTGCTGCCGATCACCATATGGACCTCCTAACCCTTTTTATCTGCTGGGGCACAAACTCCATTACAGACAGGGCAAGCCATGTTGGCCTAATCTAACTGGCTCTTTAAACAGCCTTTTGGGTTGGACGAGACTTCTTTATTCTTTTTGTATTGGACTGACCTTACCCAAATAACAAGGGCAACATGAATACCAGACTTGCTTTCCCAGAGGGAGCATGTGTGAACTGTTTGTTGGCTTATCTATCTTGCCATTTCCTGGGCATTACGAGACAAAACATGTTTTTTCTGTGCCTTACATAATTAGTCATACCTTGCAAAACCACTTTTCACTAAAACTGAGCACTTTCGGGGTTATGTTTTGTATTGCTCTGTGCTTTGAGAGACTGAAATTTTTACCTTCTTTACAGAAATGCTCAATCTCCATCAGATTGAATTGAGAGCCTCTGTAAAGAACGGTTTTCAAGTCTTACTACAGATACTCGGATTTTGGTCTGGACTTTGATTGTGTGATTACAAAACTTGAAATAACATTGATTTAAATTATTCAGCTATGGTTGTATTGTTTTCTTATTGAAACATGAACCTCTACCGCACAAAATGTCAAAGTATTGTTCCATGTCCATTTTCATTTTTTTTTATAAAAGAAAACCATGTATAAAATGTTCCCACTACACTTACTATATGCATTTAGAATGCATCTGGTTTTCTGCTTTAATTGTGGTCAAATGTAAAAAGCTCAAAGGTAATGCATGATTTACATTGCTGGGCATAAGTACCGTACTTATCCTAACAGGTGAAACAGTTATCTTAGTATTTCTTGCATTGCTGTTGGTAAGCAGCTTTAAATGTTGTATCTTTTGCACAGTATTTTAAAAATTATCCAGAAAGACTTTCCTGAAAGTACACAAAAAAGTATTCAGTTGAGATTTGATAATTATAGTAATTACAGTTTTGAGGCTGTCTCCTTTCCCTCTTTGTTTAATTTTGTCCTGTAGCATCATTCTGACCCTGGGGAAAAAATCTGATTTCTGGGGGGAAAAAAAAAAAAAAGAGTCAATTTTCTTTTGAAGATATTTTGTTTCCAAGCCTCCCTACAAAATTGATTTCATGCAAGAGTACATAATTTAGCTTCTTATGATCTATAGCATGTTATTTAGTAAGACACTTGGGTATTTATTAATGACAAACTGTTTTAGACTTAATAATTTGCACTGATGCATTGCATGCGATTGTACCATTGATCTTCTGGTATCCCTGAGGAGACAGCTTATTCTGTAACATGGTGTGCAGTTCCTCTAACTGGGTTAAGTTAAAGAACCCAAACCAGTATTTCTCCATTTTGAGCAAAATATGTGTTCTTTAAAAGAACCATTTGTTTCGTCTTTTGAATCAACATAAGAGATGTTTGCTTTCTGGAAATTGCTAGAATGTGACTTTAAGTATTTTCTAGGTCTGAATTAGTGAGAGAGGAGAAAATAGCTAACCAAGCAATCCTTTCATCTGTTAACCAGTCTAACCTTTATCCATCTCACTGTTCATTTATCCATCCATTTGTCCATCCATCCTCTACAGAAAGAAATTATATGCAATAAATTCATTTTGAACCTCTGTTTTTATATTAATGCTGGATCTAAGTTGAATATAAATCTTTATTCTCATTGTACCAGCTTATAATGTGCACTAGTACAACAAAATTGGTCTATTGATCAACCTAAGCTGCAAATAGATTAAATGGTAAATGGACTGAAATTATGAAGCCCTTCATCCTACTGCCCACTTCACTCCCTGGCCACATTCACTGAATCACACATCCTCATACATAATACACAGATCAGTCGGCACCTTTGGATTAAGTGCCCTTCCCAGGGCACTGCAACATGTTACAAAGGTCAGTTTAGTTTTTGCTCGGTTGAACCATAGTGACCCACAAAGTAAGAAAATAAGACTTATTTAATGAGTCTGCAAGATTAACAAATACTGGCATTAAAACTGTGTCCACATTCAAAACGAGGTTAAAAAATTATAGACCTTGTTTTGTAGGCCTGTTCATCAGTGTCTAAGTTAAAACTGTAAAATAAATCAAAGTCTCCATGTTCTTGTGGTTGATGTGTATATAACAACAAATTGTCACGAACTGACAAAAAGCTGAGAGAAAGGCCAATTTTAGCATTTTTTTATTTGCATTATTTGCATTTCCAAAATCCTGAGTCCTTAAGAAAAATTAAGATTGTTTTCTACATGAATTGGAGTCTGTTTGGGTATTAAAGATTTAGATGAATTAGTGAACAAACTACAGCAGAGGCTGATGGGAAGGATGACTGTTGAACCCAATCCTCTTCTGTCAATTTGTCAATCACAGCACATTTTGTAAATGGCCCAGAGCAAATATCACGCCTACAATACATCTAATTAATCGGGGAATTGAGATGTGTGCCAAACATAGGAGTAAAGCTCTCTTTGTGTGCACTTATGTGCAGTAATAAGCTAACATTGATGGAGGCAAATATTGCATTTGTCATATCCAAAGTGCAATCCTTTAGCTCATTTACTCAAAACCATGATTAAATTTAAACATTTCCCCAAATTTTTATTAAAATTTAAAAGAATATATTAGTAACAAAACAATCTTAACACAAAACAAACATGGGTAGTGGTCTTTTTTTAGAAGGGGACATGGCTTACCACCCAGGGAGCCGTTCCGTCAAAGGGTTGCACAAACACTCAAAAAAAATAAATCTGTTCTCTGTTGGGTAGTAAACTCCTTCCAAGTCCAAATCCAAAGGGATATTTGACGCTTTCTTTAAAGAAATTTGGACCACAGTTGACCATTTCTACTCCCAAATATAAACAGTTAAATTGGCAAGTTCTGGTCTGGAATGATCTACACTGAAGTAACACTCCTTAAAATTTATTTCATCTGCCAATTTCCATCAACTGTTTTTCTTTGATTTAGATGTGGACTTTGACTTGGTTATCCTATTACATTAATTTTCACTGACCTAAACCATTTTTTGTACTTCTGGCTAAACCTAAACCATTTTTTGTACTTCTGGCTAAATGTTTAGGGTAGTTCTTCTGCTCTATTTACCCTAAGTGGAGTACAGAACACACTTGTATGGTATAATGTTAAGGTTTTATTTGTGCAAATTTTAAAACATGAATTGCAGCATTTCATAACATTTCACAGATAAAGGGATGTGAATGCTTTTGCACAGCATTAGATTTGATCAGATACTGTCACATCCTTCAGCTAATGAGCAAAAAAAAAAAAACAATTAAATGTCACATTGCACAGGAAAACATATGGTGTTTTGTGTAGCCAGCTGCAGACATACAAGCTGTGTTTATATTTTATAGCTTAATATTTGTATGAAACTAATAGATGAAGTAAATTATGTTATTTTTGTTTCAAACAGATGCGCTGATACTTTTTTCTTTCAAGCGAAAGGAGATGAGGGCCTTTTAACAGCTGTTCTGATTTAGCACCCACGAAAGTACTTTACCCTTTTTATTGCTTTTACAAATCAGTCATGGTGAACATAAATGTTTTGCCAAAAAAAAAGTTTAAAAAAAAGCCTTATATATCTGAACATCCCCAGAACATCAGTTAAATTCATCATCAAGAAATGAATGCAATACGGCCCATATTAAAATCCACCTAGATCAGACTGTCCTTTAAAACTAAGTGACAATGCAAAAAGGAGACTGGTGAGAGAGGACACCGAGTCTGGAGGACTATGCTGAAGGAGTTACGGGTTTCAGCAACTGAGATGGGAGAGACTCTGCAGACACTAGAGTTCTTCACAAATCAAAGCGTTCGGTGAGAGTAGCAATGAGAAAGCCTCTGTTGAAGAAAACATATATTTAGGTTTGACTAGAGTTTGCCAAAAGGCACATCTCCATTTCTTTTGATCATGTTTCATTTTTAAAGCAATAGAAAGGGTGAAACATTCAAGAGGGCGAATGCTTTTTATAGCCACTGAATTCCTGACAGTGTTAGAATCATTAGATTTTTTTCAAGGAAGGAAAACATATCTCATTTTATGTGTGTATAATGTACAGTTCATATTGATGCATTTAACTTTACTATGGTAACAGACCAAGCTCACTTGCAGAACCATGGCAAGTGGTGATGTTATTTTAATTTCTGTTTTGACTTTTATTCTCAGATGAATTTTTAACCACCAGATCTTGTAAATTCTCTTTGCTGTCCCTGCCCTGTCATTTTTATATTCATAAAGTGGGTATTGTGTGCGCACTTGTGTGCAAATCAACCTGTTTTCTGATGGATAGTCAAGGTCTCACTGGTTTCCTCCTTTTTCTTCAGAACAAAATGTTCATGTACCGTGGGAAGGAGTACGAGCGCAGAGAGGATTTTGAAGCACGGCTGCTCACGCAGTTTCCCAACGCAGAAAAGATGAAGACCACCACGCCACCCAGCGAGGACACAAAAAGCTCCCCTGGACAATGTATCCTCAGCATGATTTCCCAATGTCTTACTGAACAACAGATAGGCAGCAGAAGGTCTTAGAGATCTCTGCCTTAGTTTATTCTGCCTTAGTTTACTCAAATAAAATTAAAGTTGCACAGAAAAACCTGATAAATCTAAAGCTTGGATCATGAACAAATAACCCTGAACCTTTTAGACCACATTAGAGACAGAATGTTTTAGTTTTTAGGTTAGTAAGGTAAACAGAATAATATTCACATATGTGGCTTCATAAAAAAAATAAGGGACAAGTAATTACAAAATTAAGCATCACCTAAACATAATTTTACTTGTAAATATTTGATCATGTAAATGCCCTTAACAAACATATTTACAAAGTACACAATAATCTTCCTGTACTTATGAAAAACTTAAGTAAAATGTAGAAAATACAGATTTTCTGAGTTGACTTTCTGCCTCTGCCTGCTGGGCCTTTACTATCTAGTAAGCACTTCTTGACTCCTTTCAAGCACATGAGAATAACATGGGAAATCTGGGAATGGAAAAGTAAAGAACTTGGTCATAATGAAGCAATATTAGTTGAGCATTATTACTGGTTTCCTTAATTTTTTTTCCTGCTCAGACATTCAGTGTTTCAAAGTGAAGCCCATTCTCAACCTTCCAGCTAAGTTTCAAAACAAGCCAGTGTCTGAACAAATTGTCAGGTAAGCTGGGCACTGCAAACTTCTTCACAGTAACAGAGCGTGTAAGTCAAAGTCACACATCGTTTTCTTCAATCTGCCGTCACCCAGTTTACTTTCCCCAGCCGCTCCAACAGTTCATAGAGCCTGTGATGGCATGCTCGCAGTGAATTGGGTTTGCTTTGTGCTGTGCGCACAGAATGCGCCGGTATGAAGGTGATTAAATCTTGATTTAAATGTGGGTCTGTGTTGAACAAACACTGGTTGACCTTCTTGTTGTTCTAGAGGCTATTAACTTTCACCAGCCATCTGCCATTAGTCACTGTGCCAAGTACAACATTGTTTCTCTGCCATCGTTAATAGCATTGTGTCAAGCACCGGGGCCACAGCAAACAAGGGGGCCCCCGTGCAATCCCCCTCGTTCGTGTGCCAGCCGGGCGCTTCTGTGCTCAGCTGTGCAAATTCACTTTGATATACCACCCAACGCTTCAGTGGACATGATTAAAAGAAGGCGTTTACTTGGAAAAACCTTTAGGCAAATTTACCTGGGCACTGATCTTATCATCGCCCTGCAGCAGTGGGCTTTCAGCAGCCAGTTGGCTTGTTTGCGCTCTCTGTCTGATTGGAACATGTGACTCTGTTAATGGCCTAGATTAGACAGTCGTGTTTAGACACAGACAGAGAAATGTTCCACACCGACTGCCCATTCGCTTTTTTGATGCCAATTTGGCCTCTACATCTCTGGCTCTCCCTGTTCTTTTACCACTTGCCTCTCTGTGCCTTCTCTCTGTTTCCTCTCATTTATTTTCTCATTCAGTAAAGAGATTAACGGTGCATAGCAATGAGACCGAGCTGTTTGAACTGAAGGGTCAAAGCCGCAGGCAGAGCGCAGTCCGTTTTTGACCTTGCTGTGCCGGACCAAGCTACTCCATCATCTTTAGCCAGTCTGCCAGCTAATGACCTGTAAATGTCATAATTTGGGTCACAAACTGATTTAAATCTGCCACATTAATCTGTTTCATTAGATCAGAAGCCATTTTTGTTAATGCTGGTGTTTCTTTTCTAATCCATGAATGTTGGGATTTAAATTGGTGCTCTTTATAAGAATTAACTTTGTTAAAAGATATTTCATAAATTTTCTATGGAACATCCTTCTTGTTTTACTTAAAATGGCTTTATAGTATCAGCAAATCTATCTGTTTTTGTTATAACCAACATGTAAAGTAATTACAGGTAAATATCAATAAATTATAGTATTTATTTATAGTATTTAAAAATTATTTTGGTAATAATTTTAGTAATTAAATAAAAAAATGAAACATGGCATGATATTATTGCAAATTTGGGTCGTGTCAGAAAGGTGACTGGACTATCGACTGCAAAAGTGTTAAGGAAGCCCTAAAAGTACCTGTATACCTATTTTTAATTCTGCACTTTTTTCTTCCACTCAACTTACTATTCATATCTTTACATTAAGCCCTTTGCAAAAAAATGTGGGCTTTAATTTTCCATCCATATTATTTGAACGAAAAGAAAAAAGAATTTGAGGTATATAGATTCCATAAATTTATGTAGTAATTTTTTTTTGACTGAAGTAAACGTACCTTCAAATAATGCTCTAACTTATTCAGATTTACCTGTTTACGGATATGAAACACAAGTTCTGTGTTCATTTCCGCAAGGGAGGAAGATCCAGTCAGCTTTTCCAACCTCTGCTGTGGAATCCTGTTTTTCTTCTTTTTGTTTTCTTTTGGGGTTTTTCAGACTGAAAAGTCTATTAACCTGATCAGGCAAAGTTCATCCCTGCTTGTTGCAAGCCTCTGTTGCATGGGCTGCAGCTTATCTACATGTTGACAAGCCAGGCTGGCTTTATAGCCTCCCAGTGATGTTTGTGAGGCATTTATGTCCTATGTTGGTAAGGCGAGTCCCTTCTGATGGAGGTAAATCAAGTTTGCTAATGCCATACTGTCTGGCAGGCCTAGCTTAGAGCAGGTTTGTACTGTGTTTGACCTGAAGCAAAGCAATCAACCTGTACCAATCAAGCTATAGATTGCCAGTAACGGTTTTAATTTACTCAGGCTCAGATTTTCTCTCTCTCCAGCTTCTACACAGTAAATGAAGTCCATAAATTCCAGTATTCCAGGCCGGTGAGGAAAGGAGAAAAGGACCCCGACAATGAATTTGCGGTACTTTTTAGCTTTTCTTTAATTAACCTGCATTTGTTCTGTTTGTTGATTAACAAATAAGATTGGTGCCAGGTATAGCAAAACCACTTTGAAGGTTTTATTTTTTGGATGGTTGTGATTAAAGCATGAGCAGTCAGAATTTGATTACTGGTTGCCAATTTCTCTCCAAGAGCATTTTCATATCTTTTAGAGTGGCCATTATATTGTAAGCTGTCACTATTTTGTATGTACTCTAAAGTAATTATAGCCTTCAGTTTCTTAAAGTGGTAATTAAAACAATTTTGATTGCTATTATTACCTGAAATCTGAGATTTCCACAAGCCATTTCCAAATCCTCTGTGCTTTGGGAAGACAGATATTTACTGTTCAAATGAAAATTGGACATTTGACTTTTCAACCAGCTTATTACATGTCAGGCTAGTCAAGCTGAAAAACAGCAATTTGCAGTCATCAGCAGGTTTATTTTTATTTTTCTTTCTAATTGTCATACTTAAGTGAATCAAGATACACATGCATGATGCATATTGGAAAACCTTTCAAATAGATTTGTGTCCTGCTGAGCATGTATTGTATTTATAAAATAGAGTCACAATATTAAAATAAACTACTGAATGATGATGCAAGCAGTTGAAATTTCCGAACAACTTCAGAAGGTAGTTAAATCTTAAACAGTATTACACACCAACTTTCAACAAGGGCACAAAGTTCCCTCCACCTTTACTGACTTTTATTACATTAAGATAATGCGGAGATACTGGCAAAATCAACCTTCAATTTGAGTAAATGTTTTTGGTCAAAACTCAATATAATAAAAGTGTTTGTTCTGTAGTATTTATTATTTCATAATAGAAATTACTGGTTAGTGGCACCTCTGAAAAATCCCTCTAAGTGAAGCCATCTGAATTGCTTTTGGTTTTATGCATTTTATTTTGTAGGTAATCCTCATGAGATCAATATCCAGCTAAAGTGATTAAATATATCTTCAAGTCTTACTGGGAGGGAATTTCAGCAGTTTTTGTGTAACATTACACAAATATGTGTTTGACACAAGTTAAACTTTGATCTAAGTTTTTGTAACGTGTCTTCTGTCCTAAATAAGTGCAATCTTTAGAAACGTTGCACATTTTTATGCTTCAAATGTTATAGAGACAGGTATTTTGATGCAAAAGCAGCGGAAAGTTCACTTTCATCTGAAATTACTCTTGTCATTCTGTTTCCAAAAGAACATGTGGCTTGAGAGGACAACATACACGACCGCATACAAACTTCCCGGCATCCTGCGCTGGTTTGAAGTCAAATCAGTTTCCACGGTAAGTTTGAATGAGCCTTCATGTCGAACCGGCCTCCTAATAAGATAAGGATCAGCTTGAAGGCAACTGATATGATTAATCTACATAAGCAGTATAGACAAGCGCCTGGACACTGGCATGCTACTCTTCAAACTTTACAACAAGGCATGCTTTCTCTTTACGCACATTGATTTGCCAAGCCCTACTGTTTCCCTGAAAACAACCACGCTGCACAAATACTGCTGGAGAACAGCTCAGACCTTCCGTCACTCTTGATTTTCTGTAGAATTACCTGGATTGCTGTGTTGGGAATCCTTTTGTAATAAGGTTCAGGCTGAAATCTGTGGCTGAACCACGTAGAGAAGCTTTGAAATTTAGCTCATTTCACTCCCTTGCCATAATTTGAAATGCTGCTTGCGTGTCCCAGATTTTGGCCTTAGCTGTTGTCTGGAGAGTGGAGAAATTAGTTCATCAACATAATTTGGAGAGGAGGTTGCTGTGTCACTTGGAGCAAAGACACCCATTGTATCTGTTTTTTTTTTCCATTTAATCTCCTTACTTTGTCCCAATGCAAAGCCACTACTTAGTTTGATTAGCCTGGTGGAAGTATTCTGCTATCAATTACCCTTTTATTATTGCCTCTGTTGTCAGTACTTGCCACAGAAACAGCCATACTCAGTATAAGTGGGTTTCTTTTCATCTCTACTTTTCTTCTGGTAGCTATTTATTTATGATCCATCTTAAATGTTATTTTGTCAACACAGTTATTTTCTTAAATTTCTTAAGTTATAAAGTTAAACAAATTTAGCTAAAGTAAGTTGGATAAGCTTCATTTAATTACTTGTGTCAAAATAAAGTAGTTTATTTAAACTGGAGATGCATTCTCTCTTTTTTCAGTGTATGTTTAAATTTCCAAACTTGATGGCTTTGATCCAGTGGTTCTTACATTGAAAAACTGACCGCAGCTAAATCCATGTAGAAATTCTAGTCTTCAAATGAGAAACTTGTAGGAACCGTGTGTTGAGATGTCACTCTTCATCCATTGTCAGAATGACTCAGAGCAGACATCCCCTCCTTCAGGCTGGCTTGAAACTTGCTGTAAGTAGCAGCTTGCCCCCCATATGAGCCGGGGATAGGCCGGGTCCCCAAGGTCAGACTCTTCTATTTAAAGCTTAATGACGAGGCTGAGATTCACCAGGCCTAATCCCTCCATCTGACACTTCTTTTTATCATGGTGACCTGAGACATAACAGCACAGATTGGAGATTTGTCTTTGCTTGCCTTGGCTGGGGTCTAAATCTGACATTTGTTCAACAAGCCCCTCATCTGTCCTCTAAACCCTTACTTAGAGGGAGGTGTTTATTTTTATTTTACTAGGATTGGTCTTACGTGGCGCTACATAAATTTTACCTGGAATTTGCTTTCACAATGTGAAAGCAAATTCTAAATATTCCTTTTTTTTCTCCTTGGATTTTGCAACCATGTTAGCTCAATTATTTTTTTCAGCACTATTAAGTGCAATAAAACAGAATTTGTTTCTGTACTCTGAATGAATAACTTGATTTATGCTGATACCTGTCACATTTTCTGAACAGAGTAAAAATAAATCTTTTAGATGTGTATATAATCCAAAACAGATAAATATATGCTTATCATTCCTGATATCCCTGCTGACGTGCTCTGCTCCACAGGAGGAGATCAGCCCTCTGGAGAATGCCTTGGAAACGATGCAGCTGGCCAATGAGAAGATCAGCAGCATGGTGCAAAGACATCTCAGTGATCCCAACCTTCCCATCAATCCTCTCTCCATGTTGTTGAATGGAATTGTGGACCCTGCTGTCATGGGAGGTTTTGCTAACTATGAGAAGGTGGCTGACATTTTTATTTTCTGTTCTCTTGTTTTGTTGTCATCTACAGACATTATTTTTTCCTTATTCTATGTGTCTTGGATTATTTTTATCCGGGATTCCTTGTCATTATAAGCAGCACAGATTTACCAGCACTGCTTAAGCAAGATTTATAAGAAAAAGCTGGTTATTCCAAAAAACAGTTTTTTATAAATGGAGACATTTAACAACTATTATATAAATTTACTTGAAATTTAAATCAATCACATGATTTTAGAGACAGTGAGTTTTGTTTTTATTCAGGATTAATCCAGCTCCTCATCATAGAGCACAGTGGGTTTTTTTTTTCTTTTTTTTCTTACAGTGAACAAACTAAAAGTTATAAAACATTTGCATTAAGCTAACCTGAACATTTAAGATGCTGCATTTTTTGGTCAGTTTTGAAGTTTGTTACCTTACTTTTTTCACAATGTAACATTAAGATCATTTTTGTATTTTTGATTCAGTTTTATTTTTCAATGGATTGATAACATGACACTGTACACACTTGTCATCACATCGTGACTCTAAAACTGTTGAGTATTGTTTTTATATTTTCAGATGTAACTGGCTAACTCAAGTGTAAATGCTTATTACTTGAATAATAACCATTAGTTAGTAAGGCACATACTCTGTTGAGATATGCAATCTCTTTTTCAAGAGGGACCTTGCAAAAAAGCATAATAAATAAATAAGCTGAGAAAATCAAGAGAATTCTGTTCAATTTAAGTAATTTTAACAAATTTTAGTGATTTTGAGTCAATATAACAGTTGCAGTATTCTCATATAAATCCTCATTTTGAAGGGATCTTTCAGAATAAAACTTTGTATATTTCTTTAGGAATTGAATTTATGAAGCATTTACAAAGATCAGGGTACATCGAACATTAGAGGGTGCTATAGGCAAGCAGCTAGTATCTCTCATAAGTTATTTTCCAAAGCAATTAGAAACTTCATTTTAGACCATAGAAAACTTTGAACCACAAGACAAAGATTATCATTCTGTGTTTTCTCTTAAAAGTTTACAGAATTAATTGGGTAGTTGGATCTTTGTTGTTTAAGCCGCTAGACTGAGTTGGGATTTAACGTTAATACCTCTTTAAGCACTTATGAAAGTAGTTCTCTTTGCCTGAGACGCAGCAACAAATTGGTGCAAAGTAAGTACTGGTTCTGGTTAAGCACTGGAGCAAGTTTGGTGGAAAAACCACCTTACATGTGTTTAAATCTTTCTTGTTTTCAATTTTCTAATTTTCTAGCACTTGTGAAAATCCTCATTATTGTTATTCTCCTACTGTTACTGTCTTTGAAGATTGTTACTTTCCTTGAAATGACTCAACATTTTTTTGTTTTCAAAATCTCATTTCCTATGGAGCCCACCTGTGTGACAAACAATCATTCTTTTTGAATTATTTTTGATAGAAAAACTTACAGATAACTTATTTGTTCCCCAGTGCTCATCCTTACCTGTGATAGATTTATATTAGTCTCATGAAAGCCATAGTTTGTGTCTAAAGCAGAGTGATGGAAATTCCTTGCCCTCTGGTCACTCTTTTATTTCCGTAAAATATTGCAGGTGGTGGAGATCAGACTGAAATCTAGATTAAATTTACTTTATATTTACTATAGTAGTGCTTGCCTTGTCTAGTCAGATTTTATTCCCTTCTGTTTCTATCTGCATCATAAACTTTCAGACATCTCAGCCTCCCTCTGAACCTTTCCTTACCTTCTTAACATTGTTTCTCTTCCCCTTTCTCAGGCCTTCTTTAATGACAAGTACATGCAGGAGCACCCAGAGGACCATGAGAAGATAGAAAAACTGAAAGACCTCATAGCCTGGCAGGTGAGACTAAAGCTGTCAGAGACACTATTTATTGTTTTCTTCCTTTTGTTTGCTTCCGTGTTTTCTCTTGAATGTTGTAGTTCAAGAAAAACAGCCATGATCGCCTTGTCACAAGTTGTTTACTTTGAAAAGATGATTCATTTTGTGTTTATTATTACGGTGTCAACTGCACTGAGCAGAGGAAAACCTGGCCTACAGGCAGCAAAACGTAGGTGAGGAGTAGGAGAGCCATGAAGATGCAAGTCCAATGCCCGTTGGCTTTGATCTAACTCTAGGGAAACACAAGACCTTTTTGAGAAGAATTAATTGCATTAGCAGTTGTTACTGCAGTTCTGGATAAGCATGTGGTTGATCATGAGCACTTGATCTTTCTTGATCAAGCTTTCTCAAATCTCTGGAATGACTCGGAGCTAAAAAAAAAAAGTTTGCTTTTTCTGAAACTTGCTAAGGGACATCAGTGATGGTGTTTGTTTGGATTTGAGCATTTGGGGTTTTTTTTATTTTTTTAGACCATGCAAAGTGTTGGGTGTACAATCAAAACTTTGTTTAATAAACAGCTCAAAATTTCAAACTCATGACATCAATGTGCACAATGAGTGTATGTTCACTTATAACCAAAACCGAGCTTTTTTAAGAAAACACACTTTGAAACATTTTACAATGAAACTCAGCAGCTCGTCTGTGCTGAATCGTGGTTTAATACACTCTTGGATGTTTTTTATCTGCAACAACTTGAGATTTAAAAATGCTCCCTTATCTGCTTTGTTTTGCATCTTTTATTGCTCTTGCTTCGTTGTTAAGCTCTAAACCGTGGGTCACTTTAATATTCAGGAAATCATAGTTTCCTGGTTTATGGTTCACACAGGAATTAAACACTTATACAAGAGGTATGTCTGCCGCTCTCTATTGTTGGCTGCAGGGGGAAATAATTATATTTTGGATTGCTGTTCCTGTCATAGTTCCTGGAAAATAGGTCAGCTTTAGGCTTCACATCTCTGGTAGAAATGAAACTCTTGAGAAGATGTGCTATTTTGTGGTGATGAACCCTTTTTTCTCCACAGAAAAGTATGATTCATACAGAAATACCCATGTCTGCTTCACTCTTTCCGCACTGATGTCTTTGAAGCTCTATGTCCTTTGAATTTTTTTTATTTACTTTATATAGCTGACTAGTTGTAAAACTTTTTCTTATAATGACTGTTTACCATTTTTGTGGAGTTTTCCGGTTTTACTTAAACTTGGGAAAATAGAGGAAATCCCCAAACTCGTTAAAGTTTACAAAGTAGAGTTGGATAACCTAGAAATTGCAAAAGTCTCCATAAGTCTCTATAATTACAGTGTATTAAATATGTGAATTTTAGTCTGCAAATAAATTTTACCATTCCAGAGGTTTTTTTAGATATTAATTTTGAAGCAAAGGCGTGCTTACTTTGTTTTGAATAACTTTGTTTGACTTTGTTTCTTGTTCTCGGCTCAGATGTCAAAACTTCAAAGTCTTCATCAGTCATGTTTATATTTTTTTAGCCTTAAATCAGGTGAAAACCTGGTATTAAAAATAGTTTTTGTTAGCCTCTTTTTCTTCTCTCTGTCTTTGATTTATCAATGAAATGCAGTATACTGCTATGAAATACATGAGCAAAGCTCTGATTGTATTTTTTGAGTTAGAAATGATTTATTATCCATCTAACCATCCTTACTTGGGGATGCACAATGGTACAGTACTTAGTACTTCTGCTTTGCAGCAAGAAGGTTTTGACCTATAATCCGAACCTGGTGTCTTTGTGCATGGAGTTTGCATCTCCCCAACACGTGTGGATTCTTCCAACACATGTGGATTCCCAAAACATAACTGTAAATTATCCATCCATCTGCCTGCTGTGTCACCCACCTGGATGACTGTGATATCAAATAGTGTCCTCTCAGCTAGCCATCCTTTTCTGTTGTCTTGAGGTTTTGGCAAGTTCAGTATTTAACATCTGCCATGAAGATATAGTCAAGTTTCTGATTTTTGCTTTATGAAATAATGCTAAAGCTATGTCTGAAAACCTGTGTCTGTCATCTTTTTACAGGAAAAATGTCTTGGAACCCTGTTAAACAGTATGAGCTGCCCTGTTTTCTTCGCGAGCATACTTGTTTGCCTTGTCTTTTTGAAACTGTCTAAATGAAGAAGGAAGTGAACACGGAGAGAAGCATCCGTGTGACATTGGCATTGTGCTCATCTAGTAATTAGAGAAAAAATGAAGGTTTAGAAACCGGTGAATTAAGTTCAGGGAAAAGCTGTGAAAAGACACTGGGTGTTTTGATGGTGTTCATAAAGAGTGGATGTCAAAATGACTGCCTAAAGCTAACAACTTTTAAATGAAATGTTTGTCATGCACAGTAATGAAAGTAAATAGTTAATTACACACATAACCAACATCCGAGCATCAGCTGTCGATTCACAGACACAAAAGCAGGTCCCTTTCTGAACTGAACAGTTGTTTTTCCCAGAACGCTTTCTTTTGTCAGGGGCTTTTACTCAAGCTTTTGGTGCCTTCATCTCATAAAAGCTAGCCCGGGTGCTTATTAGTCTGCCTGACTCACCAGTAGCTGCGTGGACCTTTTGGCCGTCATGAAAGGTCTTAATATGTCATCTCAGCCCAGCTCTAAGCAAGCGTGCAGCGTCTCAGCTCACCAGGCTGTTGATCAGAAGGCTGCGTGGTGAAGCAAACAGGGACAGAGTGACAGGGATCAGTTTGGCACAGACTCTGCTGATATTAAACAGCAGTGACATTCCCTTCTTACTTGTCAGCTGCTAATGTTGGTAAGCCCCCTGAAAGCATTTTGAGAAATATATGTCCCTAGTGTATAGAGATACTCATCCGAGAGCTTTACGTAGTTATGAATATTCTTCAGAACTTATTTACATTTTTCCTTCTACAGCTTTGTTGTCGTTTTCGGTGAACTGTCACAACACCCAGCTATATTATGCCACGTTTAAAGAAACCCTTTATGCTAATTTCTAGGTATACCCTCCTTGTTCAGAGGCTCTGCAGACGTAGCTTTCCGGCTTACTTTTATATCTGCATTTACATATCCATCAGTGTATTCTTTGCCTAAAGTTTTGTGCCCAACACTTTACTCCAACTTCTACCCATTAGAGGTTCCATTGACAGTTTTCAAGCTACTGAAGCTTTTTTTATTTACTATGCATCAAAACTTCAAACATAAATCTAATCTGTAACTTGTAAAGCAGCAACAGCTGCAATCGTATTAATCTTTGGTGCATAGCATGCTATTTAACCTTTTTTAGAGAAGGTAAAGTGCTCACATTGTCATTCATGTGTTTGGTTTAAAAATGTTCTTTATAAATTTGGAGCAGGCAATGTATAAGAAAAATAATCACCACAAGATTTGTTGTATATAATTGTAAGATAGGGATTCCATGATTTAACTCATTTTTTACTCAATACAGAGTTGAGTCTTCTGATCCATATCATTAAACCTAGAAGAGCATTTAAACAGTTTTGCACATTATTGCACTGGACAAATATAATTATTTGCAGTGTGATGAACTAATATAATATGAATCCTATCTCGTGCAAAAATATAACTGGATAAATACTTCCATTTGGATATTATGCTAAGAAAAGATATGAAACAATCCTTGCTGAAACTTTTTCTGCCATGTTTCAGGTTGTGTTTGTCTTTTTGTCATCACAGTCCACCTACAATACTTTTTATTGACTCTTAATTCATTTATGTTAATTGTTTCAAGTTGTTGAGCTTTTCAAATTCACTAATTCTGCTGCTTCTGCACCAACAAATGACAGCAGAAGAGAATAAAACCAGTTTGAAGCAGCCTGAACCATCTCATTATTTGAATCTTTGAACCAAAGATCAGACACAGGAAGATCATTTATAGTATGTGACTGATAAAAGGAAATGGAAATGGCAGCCTTTCAACTTCCCATTAAAAAAATATATGTTTTTCCTTTTTTACCCTATTTATGCATGTTGTCTGTTTACTAGTATAAAGAAAATATACTTTGCTCATTTGCTTCATTTTTCTGGCCAAAGTAAGAGAAAATTCATCGAAGTGTTTTCAGGATTACAATTAATGAATTGAAAAAATATAAACCAAATTAAATGACAAAAATTAATTTATATTGATGTAAAAATATAAAATTGAAGTTCAAATATTTATATTTGGCTAGTAGGCTGTTAAAATAAGATAATAAACATTACCTACATATCCTTTTGAGTTGTACGAAAGCAGGTGTTGTGATTGGTTGGGAGAGTGGAGGTTAGCTTTTGTTGCTTGCTTAAAGAAATCTTGGTAATAAAATCAGTAACTAAGAAGATATTTTAGCCTTGAGTTCAACTCTTTCCAGCAGTTCAACCCTTTACAGTCTGTGAAGCTCATCGCTGTCTGGTGCTGGCCAGAAAACATTCGGCCGCCTCAGCCTGTCTGACCTTGTTAGCAAGCTGTCTATGGTCTTTTTTTACAAGATACAGTGACTGTCTACCACAGGTTTTACCACCTGTAAGTATTTTCCAAACTTTAACAAAAAAGAACACTCAAATTTGTGTCCTCCTTGACAGTTTTCTCTCATTTTATTGCAGTGGAAATATCATTCTGAGATCTTAATACTTGCATGATTAATTTTACATGTTTGGGCTTTTCCCTCAATGAAATTATTGCTTACCTCTCTATCAACCTAAGTTCTTTTTATCAGTATCTGATTTCTTCTTTTATCAAATAATGTGTGGTGCAAACAATAGTGTTGCAGAAAGTGTCTCCTCTATATGTAATAAGGAGCTAATTAAGTAGTGTGTATGTTGTGTGTGGGTGAAGGAGTTGTATGACAAAAATCCTGACAACAGAAGGGGGCACCGCGTGCTGTAACCCGCTTTCTTTGGAGCGACTTAGAGACGGTGTATGGCGTGGGAAATTATGTGAATTAAGTTCTTCACCCCTGTTATGGACAAGTGAGGGAATTGACCCTGAAGACGAGACC